TATAATAAACAAAGCTAATCATGTTTTGCCACAATTTTCAGGTGAAAAAATAAATGTTAGAAAATAAATTAGGAGTTTTATATTATTTAGTATAGTGTTAGATACACACACATATGCACATAAGTGAGGAATAAGTATTTATGTAGGTGTCAATTTGTAACATATACTATTCTATATTTAGTCTTTTAGACTAAATTAATTTGTTTTTATTATCCTAACTATGGTACAACTGCTTCTTACTTATGACAAAGGTTCTCACAGTTCTTTTTTTTTTTTTAATTTTTTTTTTATTGGTTGTTCACAACATTACAAAGCTCTTGACATATCATATTTCATACATTAGATTGAAGTGGGTTATTCTCACAGTTCTTAAACAAGAGTAGTAGGATCTCCTTGATATTTGTTGGAAATTCAGTTTCTTAGCTTGCCCAGACACAATTTATCAGAAAGGGTGGTAAGGTAATCTGTGTTTTTAACAAGCCTGACAGGTGAGTCTGAAGTTTTTTGAAATTTGAGAGCCTTTCCTTTCATTAATATAGTGTTTTACTTACATTATGTCCTTTGATCCTTGTAGTAATCCTGTGATATATTATAACTCTTCATGTGTGTTCTTGGGGAAGTAAGGATTGAAGGGATTAAGTATTTCCTTCTGAGTTACACTGCTGTTCAGCAATATTCCAAAATAGAATTTTTGGTCTTTTTCAGATAATATGTTGCTCTTTCCTTTGAATATATTCTGAAGCAATTTTAGTTATTTTCCTATTCCAGAGTTTTGAATGATTGTTATCTGATCTTTTAAAATTTTAATCAATGTCTCATGTGAAGAACACTTTGACAAGTTTGATAACAGGACTAGAATTCAAATTCACATATTGTTTCTGCTAGTTTAATACTGGTTCCATCATATATTTTAAAAATGAAATGTCTTTTTAACTAAAAATAAATATGTAAAATAGTCAATGTCTCATGTGAAGAACACTTTGACAAGTTTGATAACAGGACTAGAATTCAAATTCACATATTGTTTCTGCTAGTTTGATACTGGTTCCATCATATATTTTAAAAATGAAATGTTTTTTTAACTAAAAATAAATATGTAAAATAGTTTTTAAATGCATAACCTAACAAACCTGAAATTAAAAGTACAAAGAATTCTGTCAATTTAAATTCAGCTTCTTATGGACTTGAACCTCAGTATTTTAATTTTATTTTAATGACACATGCTCATTTAACTGCTTCTCAGTTACCAAAAGAATTTCCAAGATTGATTTGGAATTATTTCTGCCAAATGAAACAATGCTGTTTTGTTAATTGTAATTTTCATGAGTCTGTTTAAATTAATTAACCAAATTAACAAACCATAAAATCAAGTATGTTTATAAAGACCCAAAACCTTGTAATGACTTCTATTGAAGCCTCTAGACAGAAAAATCTTAAAAAGAAAAATAGGTTACTTTAATGAACAAGACATGATGGATTCTTTAATAAAAAGAAATTGCTACTTTAAGTTGTAACTAATATTTCTCTTGGCTACAGAAGAAAATAATTTGCAAAGTGATAAGTTGACAGGTCAGACTGAAATAATTAATGATTATTTAGGGTCATATTTTACTTTCCCTTATGTTCACTGTATCTTTATTTCAAAAGAATTTACATAATGTAGCATTTGCATTATGGAGAATAAAAATCTTGTCATATTATATTACCGTAGCTTATCTGGTAAATGATTTTGAGGCTCTACTTGTTATATAAAATACCTTTAAAAACATCTTTATAGTGGTGGTTTTATTTTTCTTTTAAACTTGTTTGACTTTGGGGAGGATAAATATGTAGTGTACTTATTAAATAATTTCACATAATAATGCAGTGATCTCTGTAGTTGTTAATAATTCAGTTTCTTGATCCCACCCCTCTTCTTACTCAGATGATCTTAGAAGAGAGCTTACTAATCTGTTTAAATGAGCACCAGCAGTGAATCTGATAAAGGAGTTCCTGGGTCTCAGTGTAAGAGAAAAATACTTCTTCAAGTTAACACCAAAGATACCAAAGTTAAATATTCCAAAAACTACTTTAGCCTCTGTTATGTACCCTGCTTCTACAGCCAGGTCAGGCTGTATATCCTAGTTTTTTTATTTCCTCGCAAAAAATTATACAGCTTGGAGTCTTGGAATATTGTATAACTGTTACTCAGTACAAGGCTTGGTACATCGTGGGTACTACATAAATATCTTAGGATGGATGAATAAAGGAGACCCACCAGCATAATGTTTAGAATTTCTACATTATCCTCATTCCATCCTTCCTTTGGTTCCACTGTCTAAATCATGTGTAGTTTTATTTTCTTTCTTATACAGATTTTCATGGAAGGTCCCATGTCTTGTCTAGACATTTTCATATTTCTCCTTTTAGCAGTATTTTACACATACATGGTCAGTAAATATTTATCAAGTAAAAATATTTCGTGTTTCTTTAAACCATACTAGATTCTCACCTCAGTGAAGGTAGGGACTTTAACTCTCTCTCTCTCTCTTTTTTTTTTTTTTTTAAGCTTTCTTATGGCTTGAAATTGACTATATGCTTAGAAACGTTTGAATGGATTAATAGGTAAACAAAATAAGAAGTAACTTTATTTTAATTTAAGTTTGCTTAAAATGTAAAGTTGAGGGTTACTGAGGTTTTATAGATAATAAATTTTATTTTTATGTGGAAGAAAAAAATCTACCTTGTCAAACTTGCAGTTCAAATGTTCCTGCCTTTTACAAGAGATAAAATGCTAGATTGTGACAGATTTGGAACTGGTGAAGCTTCATCTGGGCATTATGGTTAACAGACTTTTCCTTTTTACTTAGTCTTAAATAGATTATGTCAGTAATTATGAGAATATGATAATTTGATCCTAAATGTAGTCTCTTAACATTCTGTGAGGTAAAGATATTTCCTCTGGGCAAGCTAGAGAGCCCACAAAATCAGAGTTTTCTTTAGTCAAAAGTAAGAAAACAGAAGACATTTCCAAGTAAAAGCAACACTTTCTGAAATAAGTTCTATTAGTGTACTCTTTAAAAATGTTCATATAGATCAGGGATATAGTTCAGTGGTAGAGCATATGCCTTTTATGATCAGAGCCCTGGGTACAGTCTGTAGCATCATAAAAAGAAAAAAAAAAAAAACATTTGTGCTTGGGATGTAGCTTAGTGACAGAACACTCACTGAGCACCTGCATGGCCCTGGGTTCAATCTCCAGTGCTGCAAAAACAAAACACACATATACATACATACACATATATACACAATTTACATATATGTATGTGTACTTATACACATACACATGTGTATGAATTATGTTTGTTTTGAAAATACTGTCAGCAACTGAGAGCTCTGATAAAGTGTGAAATCTCAAGCGTTTATACCTTTATTGTTAACTTCTGTTAAATTTTTCCAGTTGACTTAAATGCTTTTCTCTCCCTTTTTTCTAAATGCTTTGGAGATTTTTTTCTTTGAAGAAATTCTGATTTTTTTCCAGATTATCTTCTTACCTTTATGTTGAATGAATGCTAAAAGAATATTAGTTATTTAAACTTTCCAGTTTTGTGAATGATTGTTAAGAGACTTTACTCCAATGTGAGTTTTAGCATCACATATGTGAGAACATTTTCTTTGATAATTTATAGATTGTATTAGCTTTCCATTGCTGTAATAAAATACTTAAGATAATCAACTTAAAAACAGTAAAGGTTAATTTTGGCTCATGATTTCATAAATTTCTTTTTAGGTTCAGAAAGTCCCATTACTTTTGGTCTTTGGTGAGGCAGAACATTAAGTTGGAGACATGGTAGAATAAGCTGCTGACTTCATGGTGGCTGGAAAGAGAGGGTTAAAAGAGCAGCTTTGACACATTTGAAATAATGCCCCCAGTGACCTAAAATCCCCATTTATCCTCACCTCTTAAAGTTACCACCACCTCCTGATATTGCCAAGCTGGACTCTCAGCCTTTAATTCTTGGGCATTTGGGGACATATAAGATCTAAGTCAAAGGATTCCACACATGGCCCCCAAGGGCTTATGTCCATCTCATTATGCAAAATGCATTCAGTTCATCTCCAAGAGTCCCCCAAATTTTAACCATTCTAGCATTGCTCAAAAGTCCAATTCCAAAGTCCTCAGAGTCCCAAGGCCAACTCAAAACTTGAGTCCTTAATAAAAATAAAAATAGAAAAAGGTTACATACTTCTAAAATATAGTGGTGCAGGGTAAACATTCTCCTTCAAAGAGGGCGGAATAGGAAAATAATAAGGAGCAATCAGACCAAAGAATACTGAAATGCAACATGGCAAACATTAAATCCTAGGTCCCCATGTCTGGCATCTGGTGCACACTGTGGCAAGATGTGGTCTCCCAGGAACTCGGGCAACCCGACCTCTTCAGCTTTGCTAGTTAACAGCTCATGTGGCAACTCTTTCAAGCTGACCTTGCAGGCTGCCTGCAGTTTCCCTAGCAGGGACACCTAGGCAAAGTGTGAATTCACCTGAAGAGAATAAACTAAGGAAACCATTAGCAGTCTGTATTGGCTGCCTGTGGCTATGTACCTCCTCTCCCCTGCGTTTCTTTTATGATCTCCACCTTCCCCACAATTACTTCATTACTATGATAAAAATAATTTTGCTTTTTCATTTGGTCACATTATTTTTTCAAATTTATAGTATGAATAAAAGCATTATGAATGACGACTTTGGAAGAGAAATGCACAAAATTAAACATATTTTATAGAAACCATCCATTAGATATAAACCAATTTATAGGCCAATAATAAAGCCATGTTAAGGATTTTTGTTTAACCTGCCTTTATTCTGTATATACTTTGTTCAAAAACATGGCAATGTGGGAGAATTCATACATTGGAATTTGTTTTGAAAGATTTATCATTGATTATATAAGATGATTTTGTATTGAGATATAATTTAATGAACTGGAATATTAAATAATCTATTTTCCTTTATTGTAGGTGATGGTGTTTGTACATGCTCGAAATGCCACTGTAAGAACAGCTATGTCTCTTATAGAAAGAGCAAAAAATTGTGGCCAGATATCCTGCTTTTTACCTACCCAAGGACCTGAATATGGACATGCAGAAAAACAGGTAGGATACAAATTACAGCAAGCAATAAGGAACTAAAGCAAATAATGTGCCACAAATACCTGGTATTTTACATATGAAATATCCATCATCTACAAATTCTAAGACATTAATTTTATAGATTTATTGACTTTTTTCTTGACTAAATGATCTTTTGAAAGGTCCCACTACTTGATGTATTCACTTATCACTTCTTTTAATGTGACTTAATAGAATACTTATTCCTGATTTTTAAAATATAATTAAAATGTGAAATGCAGTTAAATTTCAAAATTATGTTATCTACCGGGTTTTTGTTCTTTTAAATAATTAATATTTTAAATTAATTTCTCAGTTTCAACTTCTGAGGTTAGTATTGACAGATATAACCTAAATAAACAAAAGGTCTTTAAAAAGTGTAAAGGAGCCCTGAAGCCAAAAAGCTTGAAAACATTACCTTACTAATTGTTGTATGCTCAAATAACTAAAAAGCCATGGGATCACCTGCATTCTAGTTCGAAAATCAGATCCTCAGAATCTCAGGCTTACCAAATAAGAATCTACATTTCAACCTGTTTCCCAAGTGATTTCATGCACATTACATTTAAGAACTATTCTAGGTAATTTGTGCATTGGTACTCTTAAGATATATAGAAGATTTTATTTAATTATATCAATTTAATAATTTACATCAAGTTTGGACAAACTATGACAAAGGGCCTTGGGTGAAAATCTATTTTTGTAATTAATGTTTTATTAGAAAACAGTCAAATTTATTTTTTTATTATTTATGACTGCTTTCTTAGACCCACAGAGGGAAGAATTGAGTACTTGTGACAGAGACTGTAAGTTACTCTCTGTCCCTTTGCAGAAAAGGAATGCTGATTCTAATTTAAGACTATGAAAATAAATTTTAAATTTAAAAATCTTAATAAAAGATAATTTTCATAATTGTACTGTTTTTTTTTTATTTATTTATTTTAATTAGGTATATATGACAGCAGAATGCATTTTCATTCATTGTATACAATTGCAGCACAACCTTTCATTTCTCTGGTTCTATACAATGTAGCATCACACCATAACTGCAGTCATACATGTACTTATAGTATTGATTTCCATCTCATTCCACCATCTTTCCTGCCCCCATTATAAGTTTTGTTTTACAATTTCATTTTGACATTTTAAATTCTGAAGCCAATGCCAGTTGTTTTGAATATCAGATTCTCTCAATTTATAACTGTGAAATTTATTTTCTTTATTTTTTTCACTTTATAAAATATTTTAATAAATAAATTTATTATATAGCTTTGCATTCTTCTGATTATTTGTTAATCATGAATTTATTAGTTTTTGAAAAGTCAACGTGGTATTTGCAAATTCTATTTTATTTCTTTAGAAATAGAAAGCAGCCCTATTGGGTTTAAAAAGCCAAGCTTTGAGAGCCACCTTGTGGATTTCTGGTTACTGCATACCTCTTAGTTCTGAGAGCTATTGGTATTCTGTATAATTTATGTTCTTTTTCTAATTTTTGTAATAATATTTAACTCTTATTGAATGTTAACATTGCTTAATATAATTAAATCAGTCCTCACAACAACTGATGGTGGAGATTGGTTCTATTTTTCCTTGATTATGGCATATCTGTATTCAAATATGCATGGAATTTATTCTGTGACATATAGTTACAATTTATACAGAAATTTTTATGTTGTGTTTATTTAAGGCAGTGTCACCAATCACAAATTCACAGATCACTATGCTGATAAAGAAATAATACAAGAAATGGAAAGATTTAATACAGTTGGGGTAGACTTGAAACTACCTACTTACTATTATATCTTTTTTAAAAAACTTTTTTAAAAAATATTCTTTTCGTTGTAGATGGACACGATACTCTTGTTTTACTTACTTATTTTTATGTGATGCTGAGGATCGAACCCAGTGCCTCACTGGGTTATTAAATAGCTTTTCACTGAGTATGGAACCTCAGTGGTGAGGCAAGGGCTCTGCCACTGAGCCACAACCCCATCCCAGGTTATTATATCTTTTGCATAATTTTATTATATTTGTTTTTTATCCTGATTCAGCTGTTACTGGATTTAAAAAAAAATAAGAATGAATTCCTAACACATCTGTTGTATATATGTTTTCAAGAAGCATTGTCTTGCTTACCATTATATTCCCATCCCTTCATGTAGTGTTTTTCTGATAGCAGGAACCCCCGAATTACTTTTTTTTCCTTGCTTTTATTATTCTAAGGCAGACATTATAATAGGTGCTTTCATTTTAACTTTCTCATATGATCTACACTATTATTCTGTCCTTTAAAGATTTTTATACCCATTTTATAGATAAACTAAAGGGAAGAGTAAATAATTTTCCCAGATACTTCTATCTAAATCATGATTTGAACCAATATGACTCTGAAGTCCACCGTTTTCACTATACTGTGTTCTATTTATTTAAAAGCAAAAAGATTGGATCCCATATGGGACTTCCTAAAGTCTTTAGGGTATTGAGTTGTGTTTTCTTTTCTTTTTTAATGAAATAGAAGAAAATTTCTTCAACATAACCCTTACTTCTCCTAAAGAGATTTTAAAAAGTGAACCTTTTCACAGTGCATATTATAACAAAAGATAAAATAATCTTGCCAAGTGTAGTGGTGCATACTTGTAATTCTAGCTCCTTGGAAGGCTGAGACAGGATGATCCCAAGTTCCAAGGTCAGCCTGGGCAACTTAGAAAAACCCTGTCCCAAATGGGCTTTAGATTTAGCTCAGTGATAGAGCATTGCCTAGCATGTGCAAAACCCTCAGTTCATTCCTCCATATTGCAAAAGTGTGTGTGTGTATGAGAGAGAGAGAGAGAGAGAGAGAGAGAG